TCAAAGTCATGCTTGTATTTGCAAAGCGCAAGAAGCAAAGAAAGCCAGGATTGTTCTGCAAGTTTCTCTGGCTCGTGTTCCAGAGGGACTCATAGGGAGTGTCTTCCTAAAAGAAACCTAGAGATACATCAGCTTGGTAAAGGGTACCAAGCCAGAAATCAGACCAGAGTCTTGGGTTCCAGCCCCAGCTCCGATGTTTTCTGACTTTACATTAGACAGATTACTGTTCCTTGTCACCAGTCACTTGTCCCCTTTTCCCTTGGTGTCATTCCACAAAATCCATTTCATCTAAGATCTTTCTAGATGGGCATCTTGCACTCCTTCTATACTGACAGTGCTTCTAGGCACAGAATGAGCCGAGAGAGAGAAGAAATTCAATATGAAATCTATGTCTTTTGATGGATTTACAAAAGTCACATGTAAGTCCACATCAGCATCATATTCAAAAGTGGATGTAAGCAGCATATATTGCACACTCCTCACTCCAGAATTTTGTTCTTTAGGGGGCCAAGAACACCAATGCTCAAAGCCCCTTGAGCCCTGTCATCCTTCCTAGAGCTGATATTTAAAAAAATATAATGCCCTCTCTACATAAATACCCTCCTATCAAAATAATCAGAATGGGTTTTCTGTGTGTTCACACCATCACCACCATTTAATTTTTAACATAAACTTTACAATATGTACAGGTTTGTTTGGATAATACACTTAAGTGTGAAGTGTAGAAACCAAGCATGTATAATATATACATGTGTACATGAGCAACTGTATTCACAGAAGTGCATTGCATCGTCTCTGCTCTGTATCAAGCTGACCTCATCAGAGACAATTGGACATGAACATAGTACAAAGGAAAATGGCTGACTAAAAAGTGGCAGCTCCGCATTGGAAAAGCTTTTCAAGTAGAGACCCATAAACTTCCAGTGAGTGTTTCTGACCCTATTTAACGAAAAGAAGGAGGGGGCACACAGGCAGGCCAAATCCTGACTCAAGTGTAAATGAATAATGCTTTTGGAAGGAAGGCCTCTTTTCTTTAGACCTTGAATTACTATTAAGTAGTGACTGATAAATGTGGCTTCCTCCTGCTTAAACTTTATTTGTTGAAGTCCAGTTAAGTCTATTCCAGCCAAGGTTGGTGCCAACCAGCTCCATCTTGGAACAGGTACTCTGGTTTTCTTGAGGATTCACACACATCAGCTCCACACAAAGAAACGGTATGTGAATGCACATCACGCTAATGGGTATATGCAGCTCCTCTGACTGAGACTTCCGTTTCTCACATTAGTATTTATTTAGGTCTTAAACCACAAGGGACTTGAGTGCAAGGTATTTATTTATATGACAAGCAATTACTAAAGCTGCACTTTTTAGGTTTAAGGGAGATAAATTTTTAATCACCATTTAATTAACACCAACTTTCCTTTTCTTTTTCATTAGCAATTCTATTTGCAAAGAATTCGGGGCATTTGTCATTTCCTGAGAAGGATGCAGAATAATATTAGATACACATCGGTGGTAGACACATCAAATAGAATAAACAACGTGAAACTGTGTGATATCATGGATCTTTTGACTAATTAACTGCCTTGGCTAAAGTCCCGGTTAAATGAAACTATTTCATTTGCAAACAAGGTGTAATTTTCTTTTTCTCTCCCTGGAAAATAAGTGTGAATTCATATGACAGCTTTTGCTGAAATGGATAGATTCTAATTTGTCTACCAGAAAGCTAAATATTAAGTCTCCTCAAGTATACTTTGAGGCAGGGAGAGGGAAACCCAGAGCATGGCAAACACTATTTAGCTTGCTACAATAGTACAGAGACAGAGCAGTCACCAATGGTGAGGTCATCATCTGCTGGGGACTTGCCTTCTTGCAGCATTGAAGTGGCATAAGACCTACAGGTATGGGTGGCAAGAATAGTTCCCAGAGCGCTGAGCTTTGGCAGAGTTGTGGTTGTGCCCTGGAAATTTCTCTTATGTAGGATATGCAAGCCTGGCTATTTGCATTCAAGTACTTCCATCTGAAGAACAGTTTGGTGTTTTCCAAAATGGAGAAAACCAACCAAAGCTTCTTAGATGAGAGGCCATGGGTGACTGCTCTGAGTTATTCCAGGTGAAGGCCAGGCAGTTAGGTTTAGGGAAGCTGGCTGCTTAACATCAGTGAGCCTAAGAGCTTGGAGTTTGGGCTTAGCACAGGGACCCTCTAACTGATGCACAGTCCAGGGCTTCCTGTCCAGGTCTCATCAACTCCTACTGTAGGTTCCATCTGCCACTCCTCGTGTTAGTTTTCCAAAGAACGGTACTCACTTGGATTACTTTCAAACAGGTCCACATGATTACATTTCACTTGTAAATTGACCATCTCATTTTCCTCTTTGGAATCAGCACGTGTAAAAGTTAGTGAATTAGTGGAGGAGAAACAAATGTTTACCATACAGGCCCTAACTACCAATAATTGACTTATATCTTGGTGTTAAAACAAATGTATTCTTTCCCATTACATAATTGGTTCTTCCAAAAGCCTCATTTTAATTTCTTTTGTTTGGGGTTAATAACAGAAATGATCTCTGAATTTTCTAGAGAAGGTTTTGAGGAAGCAGTAGGAATGTAATTTGTGCTCTCACTGGAATGCTGTGGCATTCCACAGCCCTCCTGGGCTTTGAGGACAATATAGGAAAGCAGAGAGCTATTTGGATGTGTGGCAAGTCACTACTCTGTGTTCTAAGAGAACTTTAAATTCAGTTCTGTGAGGATAGGACAGTGGTCCTAGCAGGAGGAATACAGATCTGGGATGCAACAGGAAAAAAGTCAAGGAGTTACAAGACATGACAGTCACTGAAACCTAAACTTAAGATTGGAAACTGGGGAGGCTGTTCCTGGTCCTCTAATGCAGACTTCTCCATCTCTGGGACTCAGGGAATGAGAGGATGCTGGATTCATAGGATAAAATGTGACTCTGAAGTTTATCAACCTCTAGCACTGCCTCAGCCCCTTCTGTGTTCTGAAGACAAGAGGAGACATGCTCTCTCCCATCCCCCTCTACCACACCATCATGGCACTCTGGCTTATTGCATCACTTTTTGTCACTTTGGAACACTGTAGATTTGTTGAACTTTTCCATTACTAGCTCCATTTTAAGCATCCTCAAGCTCTACGAGAACCATCCCCACCTACTGCTCAACTACAAGACAATACCAGCTATGAAATAGAACAAAATAGAACACCCCATAAGGAAAAAAACATGATGGAATTTTAACCTGCAGTACTGTCCCTCTCTCCAAGAACCCAAATCAAAATTCAGTAAAAAGAAAAACAGGAAATGGTTAGTCTCTTTCATAATAGCAAGACACAAAACTTGCTCATGCAAAATACCAACACCAGCTAGCCCAGCTATTTCAAGGCCAATAATGCATTGAAAATATAATAATTGATGCAAAAGAACCCTATAAAATGTTTCATTCATATTATTTTCTGTTTGTGATATGTCCTTGTCTAATAAATATCATAACTACCTTTTGGATGTTTTTTTTAAATGTGGTAGAAAATTTATGTGCTAAGAAATTTTTCATGCATGAATATTCCCCTCACTGTCTCCAATTTTTTAAAAATAATGAGTATCTGTTCTGTCATATATTCACAGGCTTGAGTGGGCCAAGAATAGGACAATGCATGTGACTCAGGAATGACAAATGCATCGAAGACTTCTCATCTATCTCTGTTGGTGCAGGGGAATTGATTCACCTCCAAGAAGGTGCATATTTCAGAGGAGAGAAATCCCTTGTCTTACTGAGTTTATCCATAGCTGGAAGGGTTCTCAGGGTAGATGCACAAGTGGCTTTAATGTCTGAAGGATTTTGATTTGAGGAGCTTTGTATAGAAATAAGTGTCTAATAGGGTATTCTGGCATTAAAGAAGATAAATGTAAAACCATGCTAGCCTTGGGCACACCAATAACATGGTACTTCTTACAGATTACACATGGCTGCTGGCACACATCACCAAATTAACAACTCTAGGAACACAACACACAGCTAATTAGACACCATCATGGCTGTTTGGGGACAGAACAAGTTACGATTACTCTGGGAGGAATTGGGTAAGAGATACTATACAACCCTGAGTCATCACCAGAAGGGAGGAAATGCAAACTTACGTACATAAGAGTCTTCAAGATAAACTACAACGGCCACTATGTCATAGACAGAAGATCCACACTTAGATATCGAAGACATAAATGTGTTTATGCAGCTCCAAACAAGACTATTGAAGCTGAGGGTGAGAGATACACAGACATTAACATCCAAAGAGATTCTTATAGCTCTCCACCTGAGAGTCCCTGTGGCTATTTTTTCCAGGTGTGTCTTGGGGACAGACTACAATGAAAGTAGCATATGCACAATGAACACACTGATTTTCTATTCTTTGGGGGAACCTGGAGTTCTTGGAGGCTGAGCCAGGGTTGTAATGGAAGGCATAACAAGAAAGCTGAGAATTGTTACAAGCCAAACTTCTTAACCCTTGCACATGTCAATCTTACTACAGTGCAGATGCATTCTTAACTGTCTTATTGTCTGTGTCAGACTTACATGCATACCATTTTGCTTATTCTGTATTAGAGAAACTGTGAGGAATTTCTGATGGGGAAGTTACATGGTGGATTGGTCTTCATGGAATTTGGAATATAGGCAATCATAACATCACTGTTGCCATCCAATGCACCATTATTGCCACCATAATCAGTCTGGGAGACTTGCGCATATTTATTTATTTGTTTTTTGGTTAAGGATTCACCTATCCGGTATGTACTGTACTCAGCACATACCTCACAAGATTCCTTGAGTGAAAGATTATGGCATGGAGCCATGTGCAAAAGAGCCAACAAAAATGTACCTCCCTAAATCCTCTTCCTCCTAGTAGGGTGCTATGGGACATCCAACATTTATCCTCCAGAACGTAGACCATTCCATATGTTTCCTTATAGATAAACACTGATGGAAGATTTTAAACATCAGATTCGATACTAGGCATTTTCTTGTACACACGTCTATTGCTGCAGGAATTTAAAACCCTGGGAGTAGAGTACATGTTATTCTTATTTGCAGCATAAGGCATAACATGCTCTGAAATATACACATCACTGTGGCCCCGACTGTCCCTGGAGCAATACGATGCTGTGGACCTCAAGGATGACCGAAGATAGCTGTCATTTGCTGCCTGTGATGGCAATGAGTGTTTATAAGGGTCTGAGGGACATCTCCCAATAACTAAGCGTTGGTCATCCCCATACGTGTGGAGGAAAGGGTTATCAGATGTGTGGTCTGGCAAGAGAGACTTGCTTCTCTTGCTGTCCTCCAGACCTTGGGGGAAAAGGGAGCTTTTGTTCCCCAAGAGTTTGCTTGAGGGGACACTGAACAGGCTCCCATATAAGTTACCCTCCAGTAGCCTTTCTCTGTCCTTGAGGCTTATGCTCCGGGAGGGCCTGCTAAGGTCTACCTCCCTGGGTTTGTCGAGAATGTTATCATAGGAGTGCTGTCGGTTAATCCTTAGCTTGTTCTTCTGAAACTGGAGGGCGTTGTTCTGGGACCAGTCCTGCTGGTAGACCTCCTCCTGAGTAGATGGGTTACCTGTCTCCTGAAGCATCTGGTCTTCATCAATGTCATAGAGGTTCCCCATCCTCAGACAGGCATCACACTTGAAAGGAGACCTCATGGTAAAGTGCCCTGAGTAGGTGGGCAGGTTTGAAAGGCAGCTTCTGCAATGTGTGGAGTTCTGCCGATAGCGATCACTGCCCTCACTGTGTGGAGAACCCTTGTCTTTCAAGGTAAAGTGCTTGGCATAGAGTTTATACTGATCATTGTTGGGAAGTCCATCTTCATTGTGCAGCGGGTTCCTGTTCATGGGCAGTGTGGAATCTCCCTTGCGGAAGTTCTCGTTGTGGTCTTGGTAGGTATCTGAGAAGCCCACATTCTCAGGGATTGCTATGCTCTCAACAAACTGTGGAGGATCTAAGTGGAAACTGGGCTCCTTCTCACCATCGATGGTGTAGATCTTATCCCTGGGAGAGCTTGCTTTGGTTTTCATGTAGGTACGCTCAACCTCGCTACAGTCCTTGGGGTATTTGGAGGCCATTGACCTTTTGAAGTTGTCCTTGGTCTTGTGGTTCTTATTGTTATCTGGCTCCCTGTGGCATGTGGCCCGGCTGGAAGTTTCTGAAATGTCAGAGTGGGCTACCTCTTCTGGAAGATATCTAGGACTCTTTAGGGAGTGGGTCCTGTTCTCCACAGTCTTCTCATCCCTCTGTGAGACTGGGTTCTGGTTCAGAGAATCCTGGCGTAGAGATTCCATGGATTTCTTCCAAAGCTGCCGAGGTCGGGAGTTGCCTTTGGATTCAGTGCTTACAGCCACCTCCACTGTGTTAGGATTGGACTCATTGAGGGTGAGAGGATGCTGTCCTTGGAACACATAGTTACTGAGATTATCCTTATGCCTGTTGGCCACAAATGTTTGGAGTTCATTCATGTTGTCCCCAAATATGCTGTCCTTCCCTTGAAAGGACCTGTTGTCCGAGTATATTAAATTCCCCTTGTCTGAAACCATGTCCACAATAAGTGACCCTCTTTGGATGAAGTCAGAAGCTCTTTTAGGTGAGTCCATTCTTGAGGAGTTCATGTTGGACATGTTAGAGATGTTCTTGGCTGAACGAAGAAGCTTTAGCATGTTGCTCTGTGACCCAGTCAAATTGAAGTCTGGGGACTTCTTCTTTTCTTCAATGTGTACACCATGGATACAACTATAGATGCCCTGTGAAAGGGGAACACAAAACCCACATCAACAGCAGGCACTACTAGTATGAAACCACTTGCCCATTTGAGCTTTACCTGCAAAGGTGAACTATGGAATTTTTGTGGGAGTCATGGAGAGATATCCGGATTCATTCTGAATCCTGATTATCTTAAGTCAATAGGCAAGACAAGTTGCAATGCACCAGTGACGTGTAACTATGTATTCAGCATTGAGACAGTCTATTAAGACTCTGGAAGTAAATATAACTCATCAGTCTCAGAAAGCTCCTGAAACTTACATGATTCACAAGACTTCACCCAGATACATCCTTCCTTTCTTCCTTCTTTCCTTCCCTTCCTGCCCTCTTTCCTTTCCACCCCTTCATCTTCTTTGGCTCCTTCTGTTCTTCCCTCTCTCCCAGAGTCTTTCCCTACCTTCCTTCCCTTATTTCCCATTTTCTTCCATTCTTGGTCTCTCTTTCCGTCTCTCCTCCCTCCCTCCCTCCTCCCTCCCTCTTTTCCTTCCTTCCTCTTTTCCTTCCTTCCTTCCTTCCTTCCTTCCTTCCTTCCTTCCTTCCTTCCTTCCCTCCTTCCTATCTTCCTCTCTTTCTTCTATATTATCTTTAATCTCCTTCTCTGTGTCATGAGCAGTTAGTTGGCTAATGGTCTTTCCACAAACCACACTCCTTCCCCTTGTGCTAAGAATGCTGGAACACTCACTGTGGATGTAAGAATCATACAATTATGCCATGTGTTTCATAGAACCTGGCACATTAGCCAACCACCAATTAGACATATAATATAATCTTATATGTATTCTAGAGGGACTCTACACCTATGGGTGAAAAAGTTGATGTTTTTCTCTATGTCAGAATATGTCAGAATCAGATAAGGTCTTTGTCACCTCTCCTTGTTGTATTATGAAAAATACAATGTTTTTCTCTAATTTGCAACTTTATTGTAGCAAACTGCTATCCTCCCTCAGGGGAACCTATAGACTTCTCTACACCTGTGACCACAGAGCAATGTGCTCCCCCTGCCACCTTGAACTTCTGGCTGTTCAACCATGCCACCTTAAACTGCTGACAGTGCTCCCCCTGCCATCCTGAACTGCTGGCTGTGTTTGGAAGAGGCCCACAGCTTGGTCAGAGCTGCATGTGCTTCAAGTGGTGGTAGGGATGATGAGGTTGCCTTCCTGGTTGCCCTATGATATGTCCGAGACAGCTAAAGCAATTGATACACTTGATCACCTGGGGGAGCCAAGGAAGGGAGAAGATGTGATAGGACCGTCTAGGCTTCAGGGTTTTCACAATAGCTTCCTCTATCTGAGTTGATCCATTTTCCACATGGGCTGTTTAGGAGGTGGAGTACATGCTCCAGAATAATAGGATGGGTCCGAGAATGCTGCATGTGGCCTTGGATAAGCTACTGTCTGCAAGTGAGCCTCAACTTTCCCAGTGGTAAGTGGAAAATAAAAACATAATTGTTGAGTGGACCAGCTGTGACCTGCCTTTGCTCCTTTCTGTCCAGCCTGTAAAAGCCACAAAAAGTGCATTCCACTAACTGCTCTAGATTGTTTCAGAAATCACTCTTGCATTCTGATTAGTAAGGCTGGCTCCTGTGGCGCCATGTGAGACCCTGGCTAGAGCTTTGTTTGTTACTTAGTGCTCTCTCTTTCCCTCTATTACTCACAGATTCTAAATACCTTCTTTGGGTTATGGAAATGAGGTACCCTCTTAGTGTATCTGGTGGGGTACAATTTTCTGGTCAACCTGCTTTGCTTCTTGAAGCACCTGACTTCCTAAAACATGCTCAGCTGGAAAAAGGCTCTACAGTCCCCCCCCCCACTTGGTCCCATTCTTCCTGGGCTAGGTCTTAATGGCCAGTTAGTAGAAAGCTTCTTTATTTCTTTGTTTAAGCTCTCCACCTTGGAGCACAGTGGGAAGGCATCTACAGCCCCCACCCACTGGTTTGTGTTTTTACCAATTCTCTTATTGCTCACACTTCAAGAGACAATCCAGGTGGATTTTGACTGGAGATAGCAAGCATCTTTTTCCCCCTCCTAAATGATGTGTGTCAGGGGAGAAACACTTTGGAGACAGAACTAACATTAAGACTATCCCACAGATTGGAAGATGCATTTTTAAGTCATAAAATTATGACAAGGAACAGCCATTGTATATGCTTGGTTCCAGTGTTTAATAAATGTCTCATTTGAGCTAGTATAGCTCCCTTGACAGTATCAGGAAAGCATATGTCCTAGGTTAGCATCCATATTGCATCCCAGGAGCTCTCCAGAGACACTGAGACTGCAAGGAGAGCTGAGTGTGCTTACTGTATGGTGATCACTTTATTGTAGACTTCATGGTCAGTGTTCTGAAAGAACTGGCAATGAGGAGATGTATCCTTTGTGGAGCAGACACCTGCCTTGGGAGATTTCAGAGCATCACAGATCAGCATCCTCAGAAGGAAGACCACACTCTGAACTTGACTAATGTATGTGACCCAACTTTGTATGCAGGTAGTGTGTGTGTGTATGTGTGTGTATACAAGTACATTCGTGCCCATGATCATATGTGTGTGTGAAGGCCAAAAGACAAACATGGGTGTTGCTTCTTAGGAGTTGTTACCTCCTCAGTGCCTCTGTTATATCCCATTTATGGCCTGATGGATAAAATGCAAGCACACCTGTTATTTCAGGGAAATATAAGATGAAAGTAAAAAAAGGCCCCACTTTAAGCTTTGGGGCCCCAGTTTCCTCATCCGCAGAATGGGTGGGATCAAATTAACCTCATGAGGTTTCACAGTGAGACAAGACAGAAAACATTATCTGGCTCTGACCATTATCCACACAGTAGCCACACCTTGCCATTGCTGGCAATCCTCCACTGTAGGCTTTTTTATTTAAATCAATCAGCATCAGGGGCTGAATTTCTGAGTGTTTCCTTAGTAAAGAAAGGAGGCAGGCAAATAATGGTACGTCCTTATTCATATTGATGAGGCTGCTCTGATTCAGAAGACAAATAATATTGGAGGAAGAGAGTCTCTGTCTCACTGGACTCCCTGAAGCCTTTGGGATGCATCAGTGGCTGGGCCATCCCCCTCTGCTCTGGAGGGCAGGAAAGGTCAAATTCCACCAACAAAGCTTTACCTGTGCTCCCTAGTCCTCTCCATTTCCAGTCCTAAGATGCTTGGATAGGAATGCCGAACTCAGTTCATTTCTCATAATGATGATCCTACCAACTTGGCTGTTCCAAAAAGAAGCCAGATTTACAAGCAAATGCAACAGTGTGCATTTGTGTAACATAATCCCAGAACCATTTGGATATGAAAAGCCTTTAGTAACTGGCTGGGAGAATTAGTTTAAAGTTGACATAATTCCTAGCTATATGCATGCATGTTGTTATTTTTAAGCAATCTGTGTGTTTAGATGCCATCAAGCTAATTAGGAACTATCTATTTGCTCAGAACCCAAGTCGAGTGTAATTGAATGGAGAAAATAAATCCTCCTCACAAAGCTAATGTGTACCTTCTGAATCTCCAAAGTTCTCAAAATCACCTAATGCTAAGAATACACAAATTCACTTTAGATTATTTCATTTCTCCCAATAAAAATTAGTATGTAAAACTAAATGTTTTTGCCACTAAGATGGGAAGATGAAGGAAACAGGTAGATAAATTTAAAGAAAGATATATGATACATGTTAGAAAGATAGCTAACTAGATGATAGATAAGAGATGACAGATACATAGTGATAAGTATGTTAAGATTGATAGATTGACAGATGACAGATAGATGATATATTGATATATGATACATGACATAGATAAATGGATATATATATACATATATATATATAGAGAGAGAGAGAGAAAGATAGATAATAAATCATTGATAGATGACAGATATATAGATGATGAATAAACAGATATCAAACAGAGTGATAAATAATAGATGGTTGATTGATAGGTCATGGGTGATAGAGACTGATGAATAGACATATAAGTGGTACAGGATAGATAGATAGATAGATAGATAGATAGATAGATAGATAGATAGATAGATGAAAATACATAGATGATAGATAAACGATAGGCACATAGATGATGTTGATGATAAATTGATTATAGGTAAATAGATGATTGATATAGATAGGTAATATATAGATGACCTGGTAGATATTAAAATGTCTCAGCAATATGTGCCTGATTCTCTGAAACCCCTGTGTTGTTTGGGACCTGACTATTGTACCAGGAAGGAGCTGCTTGGGGTACTGACCCTGCTGATGGAGAAGAGCAGCCCGGGCCGGTCAGAGCACACGCCGGTGAAGCAGAAGCGTAGCTTCCAATAGAAGAGATGCTCCCAGATAAAGGTGATGAGGCTGAGGGCCATAGCAGCAGCCAGCATGTAGAACACGCCCGCCATGTTATCGATGTCCAGCTGGCTGCTCATCACCTCATTCTTCTCGTTGTGACAGATGCCTGTAAGCCACAGTGTCTCCAGTTCCTCCATCTCACCTGCACAGAACATAACACCAACAGGCAGTGAAGACCTGAGCACATGCCTTGGTGTAGGTACCTGAGTTAGGAACAGGTACATGACTTACAATTGTGTGTCCTTAAGGTAAGTTACTGAGCTTGGCTAACCTTTGACTGCTCAGTTGACACCTCCCTGCTACCATTATAGACAGGATTAAATTGGATGTATTTACAGTGTGGTGAATTTGGCAGTTCCTGATATAATTTTTATCATGGTTGCAGTCTCCTCCATATTATTTCCTTGTCTTCTACATGCCCCTAAGTCCCACCCACCCAAGCTCATGCAGGATAGGAATGCTGCAGTGCAAAGACTTAACCTCCAAACCCCTCACTTACATGTTAATGTATATAGCAGGAGTGCCTACTCCAGGGATTGGTGGTGAGGGTCAGTTGAGTCTGGTTCACATTAAGTCCCATAAACAATAGCTTGTGCTACTACTGATTGTAAAGAGGAAAATGCCTGCAACTGTGCCTAGCCGAGGGTAGGCCTCAAATATACTAGTTTCTTCTTTCTCATGTTTAGAACACCTTAAGCCACTCCAAAAACTCACCACAAATAATGAGCTTAAGATGCTAAACATCAGTAGAAGAAAGACATCTTGGCTCTGAATGGCCCCTTGCAAAGTAAACATCTTCCTCACTTCAACAGGCAACTAAGGAAACAGGTGCGCTTTTCATTGAAAATAAAAAGGAGGCATGCCCAACACATTTCTTCAGTGCATTTTATCCAGTTCCCCTTTAGGATAAAATTCCATGATCTCAATGTCTAAAAATTATACCAACCATCTACAATTCACTGAGCACTGGCATTTACTCCATGAATCAGTCTTAAGAATTCTATCTCAGGGACATTAATCATCAAAGAAAACTTGTATGCTATATGCAAATCATGACTCCACTGTGCATGTATGTGTCTGATTGCTAAGCTGAGTAGGAGGTATCTGAAGGAAAAGGAAGGGGACGGTTTTAAAAGTTTGTGCTGCCTCTTCTCTGGGGGAGGTAGTTACCATTATGGATTTCCAATAAGTCTTGTTTTTAAGTTCTGTGAAATCAGTGCATTATCACCTTGGGTATGTTCTCATGTTTGAATGTAAGCTGGCTGTGATATTTCCTGGGCCTTGTGATGATGTTCAGCTTTCTTCAGATTTGAACTGCTGCTGTGGGGTCAGTGGTCCCCCCATTGCCAATGGCTTGCTAAACAATCTCTGTTTTCTCTCAAATTGCTTGTGGAAATTTCCTTTTGACATTGGTGTAGAATATACATGTGGATTTGTTTTATTTATTTAGACTTTGGTCTCAGTGTGATGCTTCTATCTGATGACTCTTGGCTTGAATTCTGGAAAAAAGTTCCCACCTAGGGCAAGTGAGGTGGCTCCGCATGGCAGAGCACTTGCTGCCAGTCCAAAGACACACAGTGAAGAGAGAGAACAGACTCCTGAAAGTGGTCCTCTGAGTCCCATATGTGTATCTTGACATGTCTCACTCCACATGGACACACATATAAATATTAAAAATTAAAAATCTCATATATTATTGCTTTTAATATCAACTCCCCCATCTTTTTTTTAGTTTCTTTAGTAGACAATTTATTTTGATAAACTTGCTCAATAACAAAAATACAAGTGAAGAAAATTATGTTCACTTTATACAGTCATATTAACAATTTGTTTTGAAACTATTAATTGAAAAATGTTATAACCAATTAGAAAACAATTCTTAATAAAGTTGGGATAATATACAGACCTTAACCCACAAACTAAAACCTCTCAAGGCAATACAACTAAAATCTCTGTGTAGGTAATTCTACACAGACCACCTTTTTCCTTCATACATTTTTATCCTTCAAAAAATTTTCTGAAAGACAGCTTACTGTTTTGACTGGTGAGTGAAAATTTAATTTTAAAAGAAAATCAAAGTGGGCTGATAAAACAGTTACTATAACCAGAGTAACTGGTGACTAGTAGTCTTTTAATAAAGACAAAATAAATGCAACATGTTCTAATGAAGCCCATGATGCAAAATCATAGCTAAGAATAGATCCAAAGTTTCAACTCCCCCATCTTAACAAATTTTAACCGTTTATTACTGTTTGTAACTCTTCCAAAACTTTGGTGACTACTGATCTATGGTGTTGTCTTTTCCACAGTGTCATGTAGTTTGAAATATTTCAGACTGGCATTTTTTGCTGCATACTATGCACTCATAATGTTTCCTTGTCATTCCCGGGTCAGTAGCTCATTTCTTTGTATTACTGACTTCTACAGTCTGGATACATTTGTTCATCTGTTCATCTATTGATGTTGATGTTGGTTCTTTCCAAATTTGCACCATTACAAATAAAGCCACCACAAACATTGATTAGTAAAGATTTTTGTGTGGATATTTTTAACTCATTTGGTCAAAATATCTACAGAAACTTTGCTAAATTCTCTGGATTATATGGTAAAAACTGTTGAGATTTCTAGGAAACTGCCAAACTGTACTACAAACTAACAATACCATTTCTCATCCCAAATATCCACAAGACTTGATTATTTTGTCAGTGTTTTTGTGAGACTTTTGCTCTTTTCATAGGCTGACAGTGCTACCTGATTGCTGTAATTAGCAATTCCCCAACGACCTGTAATAACTCATTTTGTCCTGAAAATTTTTCATATTTATTTATCTCTGTGGGCTTAAACTGGTTGATCCACATGAAGATTGATTCTCTAGTCCATTTGTTCTTCAATTGGTAATATTTCACTTCATGTTTTCATTTTAATCTCTTTATTTTCCATGAGATATTAATTGGTTTCTTTCAGAGTGTCAGCTGTTCTTTTCATTATGATTTTCAAACCTGTTCTAGTTTAGCAATTTCAAACCTATAGTCAAGGGGAATAATTCTTAGACTTCTCATTCTATTTGCTCTGCATTCTCACTCATGGTTCTTGACTTCCTTGTGACAGTTGTAATCTTTTAAAATTTTATTTAGTCTTTGGTAATTTTGTATGTGCATCCAATGTACTTAGAGCATATCTCCCCTGCTCACCCCCTTCAGCTCCTCCTGAATGCCCCCTACATTCACCTCCAAGACTCATATCTCTTGTTTTCGATAACCCATGGAGTCCAAAGAGTGCTTCCAATCTGTGCACGGGTACAGGGCATCATCCACCAGAGCACTGGCACCCTACTGTGGGACACACAGCTCAGGAAAACAGATTCTTCTTTCCCCATTGCCCACTGATTGCCAGCAGCTCCTCTGCCAGATAGGGGTGGGGCTTTGGGAGCCCCTCCCTGTCCATGCTGGAATGCCATGCAGACTACTTGATCTTCTGTAGGGTTTGTCCCAGCAACTGTAGCTGTTGTGGGTGTGTGAGTGCTATGGCCCTATCATGTCACAACAATCTCTCCTGATCTCTGGCTCTTTCTATCTTTCTGCTCCATCCCCCACCTCCCTTACCTCCTCTGAGCCTTGAAGGGGATATGGTATGACATAGATGCCCCATTTGGGACTAAGTATGCCTCCATCACTTTTTCAAATTTCAGGTTTCAGTATTAACCACTGCCTGCTGCATACCTTTCTAACTTTTGATCCTGAGTTAATCTCTGCAGAACTTTTTTCCTGCTGCAAATCATAAGCTCCCCCAAGATCACAAGGTGACAGAAGTGTCCCTAGAGATGGTTTTGGAGTTGGCTTCTCCCACAGCCCCAGGAGTTTTTAGTGCACTCATTTTTGCATGGAAAAGATTGAATGTGATTATTGCACCATATACTTGATGTACATTTGGACTCTCAAAGGCATCTGGGTTCAGTTTCTCACTCAGCATCAAGCAGATGGAAACCCTCCCTGAATTTTCTTTGCTTTGATGGACAGAGATTTTCCCAGTTTCCTTTTCATAGACAAAATGACTCATTGAAGGTCTCAGAGTTGTACATAGGAAGGGGAACATGCATATTTATGAGAGGAAAAAATACGAAGAACTCTATCTCCCGGCAAGTTCTTTCTCCAATATGGCAGGTCTGGTGAAGCAGCAGTGTGGACAGAGTGGCAGGAAGGACTAGATAGCTTGGCTGAACTTCTTCCCTTCCAACATACTGCAGCACAGCACGCAGTCCCAAACATCGTGGACGATGAGTATTATCTCCTGTCCACTCAGCACTGACACAGACTCATCCGAAGCCCTTTGCTCACCATGATCCTCCGACTTATATAACTGCTTCCTCTCTTTCTAAAGCCACCAATGTCACTTCCTAAAAACACAACATATTGTTGAATTTCCCCTCCCTTGAGATTGTGAGGACGCACACACAAAAAATGGGTCTTTCTCCCTAGGTTTCATAAAATTCCCAGAATATCTTCTCTTTAGTGTTGTCTCAAAAAGAGGCAGGTTTGTAAGCCTGTGACACTGGCAGCCTGGCTAAAAGAAACATTGCCTTGATTCCTTTCAAGATGCAAGTACAAAGAATTTTTTTGTCTTTGTCCTTTTGTCTGTGCATACCACACCTGTCTTTAGAATAAGCAAACTTGGTAAACCCAACCCAGATTCCAAAAGGAGAGTGACATTAAATTTCTCAGCACCAATTACAGCCTGTTCAAATCCATTTTCCAGTTAGATAGTTCATTCCTTGTGGCCTTCTTCCTAGTGTAGTGAACTGTGGTTCAGATACTTTCTTATTCCGTTTTTAATTTGCTCAACTATATTATAATATGCTTGAGGGATATCAGGGACCATGTTTTATGATTTTGATATTTCTCATGGCCTACAGCACATACTAAGCATCAGATCCATATTTTCTGTTTCTATTTTTTTCTTTGTATCACCACACTTAAAATTCAGCAGGACTACAAAAATGTGCAGATCTCTTTGCTGCTTTCCTGACTTATAATGATAGAGGAAAAGCAAGAACAAATGGGGAGTGTTTTGGTGGGTGGGAGAGTGGGCCTTGCAATGGGGAGCTGGTGTGAAGCCCTGAGCTGGTGTGAAGTCCTGAGCTGGTGT